CACGATTAAGTAAAGACTGACGACAGGTTCCTGCCAATTAGTGTCGTCGTCACCATCTTTTACCATGATTCTCATGCCCAATACACGTGGCGCTTTTGCCCCTTCTACACACTGCCACGCCTAAACTTTCCCCTTTTTTAAAACAGAGCCAGTTTTATTTCCCTATATATACTACTAACACTATATATATATGCCAAGATTATATTAAAAGAATTAAATTAAATCCCAAATCCTCCAATTCATTTTCTCGTCTCTTTAACATATTATATGGAGGTACCAGTAGGATTTTTAGCTAAGCTTTGGAGTTTTGTCTCCTTCTTGCCCTTTTTTTTCTTGCTCTTCATACTTGGTCTTCTCAAAGGTATGTAATCAATCTGATTGTTTGTTTGTAATTCATTCTTTCTTTTTGTTTCCATTCTTGTTGTGGGTTGATATGTTGGTTTGGGTATGGCAACGGGTAAGGGCTTTGATTTGTGGGTCCCAAACAGATAACCTTTAAGTTGCACATATTATTTTGTGTCTTCTGTAATTGAAAAATAACACTTTTATCATGTAATCTTATAAAAGTTTCATATCGCCTCTCTCACATGTCATTTTTATGCATACGTGACAGTGTACCCCACGTTTTATGATAAATGTAGCAGTTTACCCTGATAAATGTAGCAGTTTATCCATGTTATCCATGTGATATGATACGTTATTATAAATGTGGCAATTTATTTATTATTTTATAAAAATATATTTCATGTCCATTCTCAATTTCGGCAAGTGAGTTACACTCTCCGGCTGATACAATCGGAGGAGGTAAATTGCTTCATTAAAATTTTCATAGGGTTAAAAAAGCTCTTTTTCAAATTACAGGGGCACATTGAACACTATGCATTTACAGGGGTAAATTGGCCATAGCTCTTTTATAATAGTTTAAATTTCACTCTGGGTCAAGAAATTCAAACCATTGATGCATAAATGCATTTTGTCAGATTCTTGTTTCTGTTTTTGCTTATTATAATTAGTTGGTTCTGTTTGAGCAGGGTTGATTATATGTCCAATTACAGTAGCAATTATAGTAATAGGAAACTCATCAGTGGTTATTGGACTATGGCCTGCACATTTGATTTGGACTTACTATTGTGTGGCAAAGTAAGCTTCATTTATGTCATTTATCAATTTCTAGTTTTTATTAAATGTTGATTGGCTGTGATGATTTTTGCCCTTTTAACAGAAGCAAGAGGGTTGGTTGGATTTTGAAGATTGTTGTATTGTTTTTACTGCCTGTGCCTTTGATCTTGTGGCCTTTTATTGCAATTGTTGGAAGCATACTAGGTGGCATAGGGTATGGATTTTTTGCTCCTTTAATTGCAACATTTGAGGCTGTTGGAGTGGATGTGACCGATAAATGGTACCATTGCTTTTTGGTGAGTATCGAATTTAGCTTAGCTTCATCATCTTTGTAATATTAGTACTCATAAGGTCTTGTTGCCTGTGAGATTGCACTTTAAGTCCCACTTGGTTAGTTTGCATGACCGTGTTCTTGTGTGGTTTGAGTCATATATTGGATAAACATATTGGCTAGTTTTAAGATGCGAGCGAAATAATTTATTAAAGGGGAGTTAGAAATAAGTATAAATTGAGGAATTTACTCATCTTGCATAAAGGAGACGGGTAAGAAGAAATAGAATCCAAAAGATGTCTAGATTTATAGGAAGATCCTTCTCGTTGGCTTTTACTAGAGTCGGAAGAGATAGTCATTACTAATGGAATTTAAATGATTTTTGGATCTATCTTAAGATCCTATCTTTAGGATAGTCCGTTAACTTAATAAGAAATGGGAGTTAGCATTCGATTTCGTTGACTGTTATAGAGTTACGATTGTTGTCTAACACTAAAGAATGTCCCTCTATTTATAGACAACCAAACAACTATTTGAAGTCTCCAAACTAACCTCAATCTTGTCGAGAACTTACAAAATCAGCGTGGATGTTAATTGAACTCCATTGATATTTTTTTGAAGTTTTGACTAAATATTGGGTGCTATTGTTTTAACTATTTATTTTCCAAGTTAGTTCTTGAAACCGAGCCATTTGCTAAAAAAAATTCAGGATGGTTGCTTTTCAACTCTTGAAGGTAGTTGTACAGCAGTTAGAGACTTCACTGATTTTTGCTTCCACTCTTACTTCTCCTACATGGATGAACTGAGTGCAGAGGTACAAGAAGACGAGAAGCCTATCGACATAGAGTGAGAAACTCTCCTCTCAAATTGGATTTATATCTATTCATAGATTAAAAAAAAATAAATGTTTTTTTTACGTCTCTTTTGGATTCTACTTTCAGGTTATTGAAGCTTCCAGGGTGTTTATTGGTTTCGATTCTATCGGTTCCTATAGATGTTCCTCTCATTACTGCAGTAGCTCTTTGGAAAAGTCCATACATGCTATTTAGAGGATGGAAAAGGCTACTAGAGGACATGATTGGTAGAGAAGGTCCGTTTTTGGAAACGGTTTGTGTTCCGTTTGCTGGTCTGGCTATCTTTCTATGGCCTCTAGCAGTTATAGGAGCTGTGTTGGCTTCTTTCTTGTCGAGCTTTTTTCTCGGTATTTATGCTGGAGTCATCGTTTATCAGGTGTGCATTTATCTCCTGTTGTTCCTATCATCAATTGTTTAGAATCATTCCAAATAACTCGGTAAAGCTGAGGCCTTATGTTTCCTCGTTATACTGGTTCGTCAAACATTAAGGTGTATAAATATGAGCATAATTTTATCCAGGAAGATTCTTTTCGGATGGGACTTGCATATATTGTGGCAGTAATTTCTCTGTTTGATGAGTATGCAAATGATTTACTTTATTTAAGGGAGGGTTCGTGTTTCCCCAGGTATTCACTAAGCCCGTGTTTAATTCTTAGGTTTTTGTTTTTACACGTTGCTTATATTTCCTACACAAGAATTCAAGTTTCAAACATGGCCTCAAATTAAGATTCTAAATTCATACTTTTTGGAAAGAAAAAATATGGGAATATTTGTTCAGTGCTTTGACAATTATTTTGAACTAATGAATACTTATCGACAGCCAGGCCTCGATACCGTAGGAAAATGAGCCATTCCAATGCGATCGAGAAAACAAAGTCGATTGATAGCGAAGGCTCACAAAGTTCAAAGCTAGTTTCACAAGGATCGAGAACACTTAAGCAAGCTATCCAACAGTATACTCCAATGCAGGTATCTGTCTCCATGAACAACTTTACTATATCTATAATTCTATAATATGAAACGGAAGTCCATTATTGAAAACCTTTATTATAGGTATGGGATTGGCTCTTCAAGTCTTGTGAGATGAACGGAAAAATGCTTCTTCGAGAAGGACTAATCAATGTCAAAGATATTCAAGAATGCATTCTGAAAGAAAATTGTAAGAAGTTGGGCATCCAACTACCCGTTTGGTCCATTTTACAATGTCTACTTGCATCAGCAAAGTCCGATTCTTCTGGTTTGATTATATGTACGTTTTTTTTTTTTCGGTACTATGTATTTTTCTTGTGGGTTTGTCGGAGTTTGTTTTGAAATTTGCTGGTTTTTTAATGTCGATTAATTTTGCAGCTGACCGGGTGGAGTTAACGCCAACAAACTTGCCAAGGGATAAAGTTTTTGAGTGGTTTGTTAGGCCACTCTTTACCATGAAGGAGCAAATAAAGGAGTTACATCTTGAAGAAGACGAGGAAAATTGCCTGAAAAAGCTCGTTATTGTTTGCAAAAACAATATACCGGAAGAATGGGATTACACTGGATTCCCATCCGGTGACAAAGTGAGGAGGGCACAATTGCAAGCTGTAATTAGGAGGTGAGTACATAGATTTTAATCGTTTAGTTCACTGTCTTCTATTTCTTTCCTGATTTACACCAATTACATTTTTACTTAAGTAGTTAAGTCTCTGTTTTAGATTTCTGCAATTCCGTTTTTTGTTTCCCATACTTCTCGGAAGTTAAGGGTGGTATTTGGGTAGGTAAAAACAAGTCGAGGAAAATGTCATTTGTGTCAAAATGGGATGGATCTACTCGAAACGGGGCTGGGTCGCTTTTTGTCTAATGTCATACCTTAATAAGTGTGTTTCTTTTTTACCCGTCTGTAGGATTGGGTCGACTGAGATCGTGACTAATTTTTGCGCTAACGAGATTGCATTTTGTTTAACAGGTTGCAAGGAATTGTAAGTTCGATGTCTCGATTACCAACGTTCAGACGGCGGTTCAAGAATCTGGTGAAGGTGTTGTATCTGGAGTCAATCCAGACTGGTCTCCTTGTTGAGCATATTGAAAATTCCTCAAATTCTGGAGGTGGTAGACATTTTTTCAGAAGAGGGAATAGGAAAGATACGAACTCGTTTGAGAACCTCAAGCAGAGTACCTATGGCAGTGGAGACATGGTATGAATTCGATTGAGAACCTAGTATACGACCTATAGTGTCCATAGAGTTTCTACATTATATAGATATGATAGTTTGGCTTGACATAAGCAGAATTTTGCCCGTGCGTGCATCATTATGCTTTTAAAGAACTTGAGAAAAGCCAGTGTCGTTACAACGTATAATAGATGCAAGAAAACAAACACCGGCACAACTAAGATCATTTCATTTTTCGCCTAAGAAAAGTTAGCGTACTGGCCCACGTTTTATAATCTTATATGTCAAACTGGAGGATCGATGTACAGTGGCGGAGCTAGACAGACGACTTTCACTGGGGGGGTGAGATTTTTTTTTAATAATGCACCTAAAAGTTTAGCCCATTTCCATTTGCAACACTTATTTTTCTTTTTAATAATTCTTATTATCTTCTCCCTAAGAAATGCATACTAGAAAAAAAAAAAAACGTATAAATAAATATATGAATTTTTCATAATTGAGGAAAATAAAAGGAAAAAAAATTGCATAAGAGTAAAAGAGAATTCTGCAAAGTTTTAAGGAAAAATGCATGAAAGGAAAAAGAGAATGCTGCAAAGTGTAAACAAAAAGGATTGCTCTTGCTGGGATTCGAACCCATGATTCCAAAATATTAATGAGGCATCTCAACCAATTAAGCCAACAAAGCAATTATGTTAATATCTAACTAATACTAATATTGCAAAATTGAAGAAAACGTCTCAAACTAATTAGTGATTTTGGATTTTCGTCCAAAACTAATCAGTAATATAGGGCCCCAAAAATTTAGTTTCGCCATAAAAACTTTAAATTCGAAATTATGAAGTTCAAGATTCATTAGCATCTGAAACTACATGGCATATCATGAAAAATCGAGGAGAATTATTACCCGAAATCAATATTATAAGCCTTTGTTTTTTTATTTTATCAGAAAAGATTATTTCCGTATAATTTTTTTTGACATTAGCTGCATAATATTATATCATCTTAAACAATAAATCAATCGCTACTCGTTTATCAAATTCAACGTGTTAGCTTTGAAATACATTTAATTTGCTGAAAAATATCTGCCATAGGACAAAATGAGTCAGACCAAATAGATGAAAGACAACAACCATGTTTGGATGTATTTTTTTGTTAAGTTTCATTGTTTTGGAAGAAAATTATTTTCTTTGAATGTTTTGAAGATTTTTATTGAAATTTTTTCGGAACAATTAAAATATGATTTGGATTTAGTTTAATTGAATTTTTTTGCATGTAAAATATATTAATTATAAGTATAGTTGAGTTGAAAATTGTAAATTATTGTTGGATATATTTTAAATGTTAAAGTTCTCGATAAAAATTACTCCTTCCGTTTTTTTTTTATTTGTCGGTTTGAAGGATTACATACGAATTAAGAAATGTCATAAATAGCCACTTTTTTGAAGTAAAAATTTCAAAATACTTTTTAATCAAATAATCTTAGCATTAATGATAAGTAGTAGTAAAAAGGGTAAAATTGGTAATAGAACATTAATTTTACTATGAAATTCTAAAACGACAAATAAAAGTAAACAAAATCTTGAAAGTGACAAATAAAATAAACGTCAAAACATTTTGGTTAGTATTGAATTTAGCTTAGCTTCTTCATCTTTTCATTATTACTATTCATAAGGTCTTGTTGCATGTGAGATTGCACTTTCTGACTTTCGGCCTATTTGGTTGAGTTATGATCCGGTCTCGCGAAACTAAGTCAAAACACTTCCAAATTTAATTTGACAAAACCCATGAAACCACATATTCAGAAACTTATATACAAACTCCTGAAACCTATAAAATATTAAATTGACACATATCACCTATTTTTTCCCTCAAACTCTATAAAAAAGACATAGATTTAATACCTACCACCTACTTTTTTCCCCAAACGCCAACATCCAAACTCAATCCAAGTGGGGTTTCAATTTTTTCAAAACCACAAAACCCATCATCCAAAACCTAACCAAATGAGATTTTAAAGATTTCACTGAAATCGAGACCCATGAAATTGAGCCAAAATCCTTCCAAATAAGCCCTTTAAGTCCCACTTGGCAGTGGAGGCATGGTATGAATACAGACAAATTTTCAAGGAATCTAGTATAGGCCATAGGGTTTCTACATTATATAGATATGATAGTTTGGCTATTGACGTAAGCAGGATTTGGCCCTTATGTGCATCATTATGTGTTTGAAAGAACTTGAGAAAAGCCAGTGTCTTTACAATGTATAATAGATGCAAGAAAACAAATACCGTGACGACTAAGATCATTTCATTTTTCGCCTAAGAAAAGTTAGCGTACTGGCCGACCTTTTATAATCTTATATGTCAAAAAACTAGAGGTACGATGTAGACAAGATAGAAATTCTGTAGTTGAATAAACTACTGTTATCTGCCGAAACATCTGAACACAGATGCAACAAGAGTTGAAGACAAAAATTTGAGTCCAGCTGATCCTCCAGGGAAGTAGGAGATTGCATAGTATGATAGAGCAAGAACCTAAGACAAGTGAAAAAGCATCAAGAAATCAAAACAATGTCTTTATAAGGCAAAAATAATAAACTCCATAAAAAGTAACTGTTTCATGTGCAAGAAATTTAACTTGGTGTGGGAAAACATAGATTGTCAGCAGATATGGAAAGCAGATAGATTCCACTTGATAAAATAGAGATAATATGGGGCAATTTGATACCTGTAGCATAGAGAAAAATACTGAAAGAATATAGCTGTGAAGAACCATGGATACATAAATTGTGCCCACCATGCTTCCGAAAAATCCCAGTGTGAAAGGAAGTCTCTGAAGGAGAGGTGAATACGAATAAGTGAAGTGAAAGAACAGTGAATAAGAATATTGAAAAAGGTATATTTAGATCAAGTAACGCAAACCAATTTCTACAAAATAATTTTTATATAGTACCTCTTTTGATAGCATGTGGACAAGCTGATTTCTTGGACCTTTAAGAGCAAAGAATGAACCAACTATGAAGGCACACCCAATAGTAAAGCAGATAGCAAACTTCTGAGGCTTCAGCACCATAACAGGGAGGAATATAGTAAAAGAAATGAATATAAAGAAGACTCCAGCCCCAAGGAACAATCCGAAGTACATAAGAGATTTTCCAGATGGAACATTGCTTGTTGCAGAGTTGAAGCTACCAGGTAGTTCTCGCACTCCTCTGGAAACACTGTGCCACGAGAAATACAAAACGAAAATCAGAGAAATGGATGAAACAAAATAGCCTAAAACTAAACTAAATGTACGAACACGATAGGTGATAAAACTAGGCTTAAGTTAATCGTTCTTTTCAGCTTGAGAAAACACGCCATATTGACATAAAACTGCTGAAATGATTCAGTCTCTGGGTTGGTCAGAAAACAATTGAATGAGGGGCTATCATTCTCCTTCTAAAAGAACGATAAATTAGGCAAGCTATGCAAGTAGGTTATTTCAATTCGTCTTTAACAAATTCTTCTCTATATATCTGTCAGAGAATATAAAATTACTGCATATACTCAACAATGATGTTACCACCAAGCCAGAATGTAATAAAATCCGATAATAACTTAGGCAAACAGTCAAAATCACAAGTGGGTCTCAAAAGCCATTAGACATTCAAAAAGATGCCATAAATTCCTACCTGAGAACTTCTAGAATCGACTGATTATCTATCAGTCACTATCAAGCATCCCTTAATTGTACTATGGATGGGTAATTAAAGGTTCGCCACTTGCAATATTCTTATCCATTATTACAAGGATTATATATCCGACTATCCGACAGGAAAAAGGAAAAGAAACAGAAACGACAATAAAACTAGTAGCATGATCCATAATATTGATTAACTCAACAATGGACATGTGTAAGTGCAGTGAAATGTCATGGATTATAAGAGCACAAACTGGAGAAGACAAAAGGAGCCATTGTTGGAATTGGACATATTGTTATTCCCCCGAATCCTAAACTTTTTCTACTAGAACAAAATTATTAAAGAAAAACCAAATTCAGTATCCAGTCTAGACCTAATTGCTCAGCTGAAGCACCTAAACCTCCATCAACATTTCTGGAAAATAGTAACATACCGTAGCATTACTCTAGATTTTAAGCTAAAATTCACGCAGTTCAAACGCTAAACATTAAAATCCTTAAAAATAAAAATCAACAGAATAACGAAATTCAGACAATATTTCTAGAAAGCATAACGCCGTATAAATTTATCGTCTAGGTTTTCGCATTTTGTGCTTACACGCTGAAAGTGGAGCTGACTTTGTCGTTTGCCGTGCGCACGGCGGCTTCGAGATCAAAGGAAGGATCGTCGGCGGCAGCGGAGGCTTCTGTAGCGGCGGCGTAAGCGTTCCAATCGGCGAGGAGTGACGATGACGACGGTATATCCAGATCGGTGGTGGGGCCGCCCGTAAACCACGCCTGCGCTGTTTTATGCATATTTTACCAATAAATAAAAATACAGCTGTAATTTTATAGATTTTGATTGGCGACGGGAGAATCTGTAAAACCACAACTGTTCTCAGTGTGTGAATGTGTGTGAAATCGTAGCAGCAACGACGAGCATTTTGAAGATATAGGAGAATTTCTTATTTCAGAGAGGTGGCAACGTGCGGGTTGGGCTGGATCCGAGCAGATAAAAAAATGGGTTTGATAAAGAAGATGATTTTACTGTGAATGGGTTAAAAACGCGGAAAGGCTAGATGTGGGTCCGGTTACAAACACGGTGGGTCTGGTCTGATCCGTCTGGATCAAATTTTCATCTTTTCCATTGAAAACAATGAAAAGTTTATGTTTTAAAATCAATGGATACGGGAATAAGGTGTGTTTCCGAAACTTTATATTTATTTTGAAATTTTCTCTTTTTCTTAATTTAGTAGGAGTAAATTTTTTCTGAAAAATATTTCTAAATTTTTTTCGAAAAGTTTTCAATATTTAGCTGACCGAAACGTAGATAGACAACGAAACTTTGATCCATGGTGGACCTATAATTAATGAAAATTGTAAAATTCTCATGTACTGTTAATATGTGTCAATAAATGACTTTAACGAAACTATATGGATTATTATGAAAAGTTTTGGTCGGATTATGCTTCAATTTGGTCTTTAAAAAAGGTTTTTGAACTTAACAAAACTTTTGAAACTTAATTTGAAAAATGACTTCAAATTGAATACTGAGATACTTTGTTTTGAAAACTTGATATATGATTTAGATTAGAAGTTAGTTGTTTGGTATTTGTAAGAGAAAAATGGGTGGTAAATGTAGTATTAATAATTTCATAGATGATAAAAGTAGATGATATCATATGTGTATAGATCTTCAGCAGGTTTGGACATGTCTCGATCTAATTTGAGACTTGAATATTGGATCGAGACACGTCCAAATTCATCGTCAAACGAGGTTTGACCCAATTTGAGTGAGTCAATTTGAAATAAAAACCAAAGAGAAAATACTTCCAATTATAGTTAAACAAATAAGAAAGAAGACAGACCAATAAAGTTGACTATGAATAATACATTGTCATCGGAAAATTCTTGTCCAAATATGGCTTGGCCAAATCAATCCAACCACCAAGCAAGTGTATTGCACTTGTTTTATGATTGATTACATCCAATCCCAAAGCAAGTGTATTGCACTTGCCTTGCAATT